TATATATATTTCATATTCATCAATCACAACATGATTATGAAACATAAGGCTCACAAGCAATTGACACTAGAACGTCATATTTCTAGGTAGAAAAGCATCCTAATAAGGACGTTGACCCACATAATTTCCCGGTGGATAATAGTTGCAAGTGACAAACCACCATTTATTCTGGCATTGAACTCTAGCACAGCCGATTTGAGCAGTGTTGCGCCAAACAACTTGAGTGTAATGCAGGCAACCAGCAGCTTCACCAATACATGCATTCAAGCCGTAGGAATACTTTGGCTTCTCATCTACCCACAGCTTCACCGCATGCACCGCTGTAAGTTCGCCCGAACTCTCTGCAATGTTTTCGCCATATGGACCATTTGAATGTTCCAAGTTGCAGTCAGCACTCCTCAATTTGGCATAGTTTTCGGCATAGGCGGCTACAGTGTTGTTCCATGTAAGAGGCTTGACTCTGATTTGTGCTCTAGCGGCATTGTGAGCAGCAAGGAAGTCTTGTGGAGAGCTTTGGGCTTGGGAGAGACGAGCCATGGTCAAGGCCACAAATGAAACAATGGCTAGTGAAATCTTGGAGAGAGCCATTTTGATTCGATCTTTGTGATTATGGAAGGATACGATTTTATGGTTTTTTGTAGGCAAAGGTTGGGAAAAGTTACCATTAAAAATAGTCATGGGAATGTCATGCATGGTCATTAGGGTAACCTATTAAAGTCAAATAACAGTTGTACAAGTTCACAAAAAGGAAAATAATAGGCACCTATTAATGTTTGATTTGGTCAAATTATTGGAAAAGTATTGCATGAGCTAAGAAAGTGCATCAAGTTTAAGAGGAGTGGAAAGATGGTTTTACCCATCTAGAGCTCTCCAATATTTTCATCTTGGTTGACCTTAGTGGTCTAATAAAATTTTCTATCTACTGTCAAAAAATAAAAAATAGGCTTTTGGATTTATCCTTCGAAATTTACTTTTTAACATGTATCTAATTTTATTTTGAAATACTTTTTAAAACAACAATAATGACAATAATAGTGATAGTTATGGAAATATCACGCCATCAATAGAGAGTTTTTCGTAAGGGATGAATTTCTCTATCAAAGTTATTGTTGGGCCTCATGGGATCCACTATAGGCCTCACTTCAACGATCTAAACTGTTTATTTTGTTCAACTATGAGTATAGATCATGTATGGAGAAAAAAAAAAATCAAATTGACCTAATAATCATAACTCATGATTTTTTTAAATTTGTCTACAAAAAATTTAAGAAACATTATAAATATAAAAATAGACAGTTCATTTTTTAAATTATTTGAAGGTGGTTGGACCACATTTTCCATTTCCCACAGCCCTAGGTAGATAGATATCCTATTTTGTTCTACCTTGTGACATCCATGCAACGCTTGCAAAATTCTCTTACATTTTAACGTAATAGTTTTATGACTGCTCTATTGTAATCCTGAAGTTTTTTACTCAATATATATATATTGAAAATTTTGACTGTTGTATGGTAGAATCTATTTTTCTAGATAAAATTCTGAATATTTTTTTCTAGGTACCTACAGCAGTGGGAGGGTGATGAATTAAGGGACTATTCACTATTGCAAACTCAACACAAGGTGTATTCTTCTATTTTTTATCAGTCAAAAATTTAACAACAAATAAAAAATAAAAACTATAGGATTATAATTTGGCAGTCTCATTTCTTTCTTAATCTACCTCCTCTCTAATCCCATTTCATTTTCAGGAAATTAATGCAAAGTTTACACAACCCACTGGCTCACTCCGGATCCAGAAATTGAATAATTTCATATTGATATGATCACAAGCACAGCTACACTTCCATGAGGGATTGTTGTTCTAAATTTTTGTGAAAAAATGGTTAATAGTACAAAAGAACATGTGCGGCAGTCAACCTCAAATCTAAGCTACCAATTCCAACCCCCACATGTGCGCTTACAAAAAAAACAAATTTCCAACAAACAAAAAGGGGGCAATTTCATGGTAAGAATGAATTGTGACCTCTCAGTTTCGACCCTTGATGTTGTTTAGATAGGCTATGAACAAGTCATTCCAAGTATCTGTAATTCCCAGTAAGCACCAGTGCATACAATCATCGTGTTTCTTTCCTCCAGCTGTGGATGGATGGGCATCTTGATGAAAGTATAGCTTACAAAGCTTACAATCAGACTCATCAGACTCAGCAGCAGCAACAGTCCAAACAGGTTCAAGTTCTGCAGCAGTTCAAACAGTCTTCATCAGCCACATCCAAGTGTGAGAAGCTACAAGCCGAGTCCAGTGATAACATTCCATATCCATTATAATATCTGTTAGATGTTGTTGTAACAGAATTAGTTCTACAGTTAGTTAGTTAGAGTTGCAGTTAGTTAGTTAGAGTTAGAGTTAGTATGATTAGTTAGAGTTAACTCATCATGGTTAGTCTTGGATAATTGTTGTATAAATACTCTGTATTCATCTGTAAAAGAGTGCTGAAAATAAGATCTCAAATCTTCTTTATGGTATCAGAGCCAATATTGCTCTCACGAGTTTGAAGGTCCATCAATGGCGACCTTACCTTCTTCTCAGCTTCCCTCAAATCTTTCACTTCTTATCTCCAATCTAAATTCATTTGTTACTGTCAAGCTTGATTCTTCCAATTTCATTATCTGGAAAAACCAATTTCACAACATTCTCAGAGCTACTGGTTTGCTCTGTTATGTTGATCGCTCTACTGCACCTCCTCCTCAATACATCAGAGAGGTACCGAATGATGCATACACTCAATGGATGCTTGTTGATTCACATCTTCTGAGCTGTATTACAGCTACGTTATCCTCAACAGTGTTCACCACAGTGTTTCATTGCAAGTCTAGTTATGAAGTCTGGAGTACACTTGAGAAACGTTTTACTTCTCTCTCAAGGTCTCATATTCATCAACTCAAGAACATGCTTCATAATGTTGTCAAAACATCCTGTTCAATGGAAGAATATATCTCTCAGATTAAAGCTTTGTCTGATCAATTGGCTATGGCTGGTTCACCAGTTGAAGATGAAGATCTGGTCCTTCTCACATTGAATGGCCTTCCTGCTGAATATAATGCTTTTAAAACCACAATTCGAGCAAGATCTGAAGCCATCTCCATGGAAAATCTGTCATCACTGCTTTGTTCAGAGGCAATTCATGTCGAATCTGTTTCCAAACAGAATTCTACTAATCTGCATGTGGCTTATTCAACTCAAGGTTCTTCTCAGAAAAATTCTACTTCGTCTCGAAATTTGTTTGGACATTCTCAATTTAGCAGAGGCCATAAATCTGGTGGTCGATATTTCTTACGAGGAAGAAGAGGTCGAGGTTCCTATGGCTATCAACATTCCTCTGGTTCTAACAACAATGCTTCTGGTTATATTTTCAATGACAAATCTTCTGTGGTTTGTCAAATCTGCGGCAAACATAATCATGTTGCTCTCGATTGCTGGTACCGAATGGATACTTCCTATCAATCTACCAACACTAAGACTTCTCCTATTGCATCTGACATTCAGAATACTTACCAGAATAAGGCTTACCTTGCTTCTGGTTCTTCTCCATGAGACAATTGGTTTTTAGACTCTGCAGCCACTAGTCATGTCACTCATAATCTGCAAAATTTACAATCCTATCAGCCATATCAAGGTTCAGATCAGATTATGGTTGGAGATGGTAATGCCTTGCCTATTCAGCATAAAGGTACTGGTATTTTACCAACTCCTTCTAAACAATTTGCTCTTACACAGCTTCTTCATGTTCCTAAAATTTCTGCAAATCTCATCTCAGTTCATCAATTTGTGTCTGATAATCATTGTTCTATTACTTTTGATTCTTCTGGTTTTGTGATCCAGGACAAGAGTAACAAAGCTATTCTTTTCTAGCTCTCATGGCCTCTATCATCTTCCAGCTGTTCTTCCTAGGTTTTCTTCTCATCCAGTTTGCCTCAACACCACTACTGCTTCTTCCACTTGGCATGCTAGCTTAGGCCATCCTTCTTTACATAAAATGAAATTGATTTGTAATAAACTGAAACTACCTCAGACTGTTTCTAGTTCTTCATTTCCTTGTAAGCATTGTTGTATGGCCAAAAGCCATCGATTACCATTTAGTTTGTCTACAACTTCTGTTAATAAGCCATTGGCTCTTATTCATAGTGATGTATGGGGGCCATTTCATTCTGCTTCTTCCATTAAATACCATGTTTTGTTTGTTGATGATTTCAGCAAATTTACTTGGCTTTATCCTTTACATTTTAAAAGTGAATTTTTTACAAAATTCATTGAATTCAAAGCTTTTGTTGAAAATCAATTTACTGTTAAGTTGCAAATTCTTCGCACTGATAATGGCACTGAATATCTGGGACTTAAATTTCAAGAATTTCTTCGCACTCATGGTATAGATCATCAATTGTCTTGTCCCTATACACCACCACAGAATGGTGTTGCCGAAAGGAAACATAGACACATTATAGAAACCACCATTGCATTGCTTCAGCAGTCTGGTGTTCCTCTTGCTTATTGGTTTGACACTGTTGCCACTGCTGTATATCTTATCAATCGCATGCCCAGCTCTAAGCTTCACAATCAGTCTCCTTTTGAAATGTTGTTTCATCAATTACCTGACTATCATTTTCTTAAACCTTTCGGTTGTCTGTGTTTCCCTTGGCTCAAGCCATATGCTCATCACAAGCTTCAGCCCCGATCTATTGCTTGTGTTTTTCTTGGCTATATACCTTCAGTCAAAGGATATAGGTGTCTTGATTCCAACACTGGTCACATTTATGTTTCTAGGCATGTTGTTTTTCATGAGAATACCTTTCCTTTTCTTGATTCCTCTAGCCAGGTTCCTTCTTCTTCCTTGTCTCAGTATAAATCTTTCTTTTGGCCATCTTGTTCTCATTCCACATCAGCTATACCTTACAAATGGATTTGTTGTTAGTTCATCTGATTCTTCTCTGTTTATTCAACACACTGCCACTACCATGACTGTGTTACTCGTTTACGTTGATGATATCCTTATTACTGGAAATAATTCTGCTCATATTGCCTCTCTCATTGCCCATATGCACTCTGCTTTTTCAATGAAAGAATTGGGTCTTATCAACTATTTTTTGGGTGTATCTGTGACTTCTTCTTCATCTGGCTATTTTCTTTCTCAATCTAAATATACTGCGGAAATTCTTACTAAGGCTGGCATGGCTGACTGTAAATCAGCCCCTTCTCCCATGTCTGTCAAGTCCTCTTCTCTGTCTTCTGCAACTATGGCTTATTCCAATCCCTCTCTCTATCGTAGTATTGTTGGTGCACTTCAGTATTTGACAATTACTCGTCCAGATATCTCCTTTGCTGTTAATCATGCTTGCCAAACTATGCATGCTCCTACTGAGGCTGATTTTGCATCTGTCAAACACTTGTTGCGGTATCTTAAAGGCACCCTTCATCAGGGTCTGTCCTTTACTCCTGGTCCTCTTGAGCTTCATGCTTTCTCTGACTCCGATTGGGCAGGTAGTGTCCATGATCGTCGCTCTACTACTGGCTACTGTGTCTTTTTAGGTCCTAACCTTATCTCTTGGTCTGCCAAGAAGCAACCTACAGTGTCTCGTTCATCCACTGAGGCTGAGTATCGAGCTCTTGCTCAGGCCGCAGCTGAGTTGAGTTGGCTTCAAATGGTTCTTACTGATTTACACATTGCTCATCCATGTCCACTTCTCTGGTGTGATAACTTGTCTGCTATTTCCTTGAGTTCCAATCCTGTTTTCCATTCTCGGTCTAAACACATTGCTGTTGACTATCATTATATCCGTGAACGAGTTGCATCCAAACAAATTTTTGTCAAGCATGTTGCCTCCTCTGATCAACTTGCTGATCTGTTTACCAAAGCTTTACCCGTCTCTCGCTTTCATTTTCTTCGTGACAAGCTCATGGTGCTCTCTTCCCCTAGCGGCGTTTTTTAAACGCCTCTAAAACCCTAATTTCCAGCAGTGAAAGATAAGATGACCGGTAATAATTGTGAACGAAGTAGCCAACGTACCAGAAATGAATGAATAGAAATTGTATTTTCAAGTCCATTCCCATAAAGTCAGTCTTGACTTTGGTTGCAATGCATTTAAAGCAAGAGACAGATTTTCTAAACATGTGGCGGGTATGATTAATCTAATTAACCTTCTTGTCAAGGCACAAGATCCTCTACATCCAAAATTTCAATTTCTTTGTAAATTAAGTCTCTTAAGTACCCTTGAGTTGTAATTTATAAGTCGGTTTTCAGGGTTAGATTCTACCCAAGAGATTTGCATAAATTAAATAAATAAATAAACTGAAAACTGAGTGAGTTCTAACAATTTGTATCATTCACAAGTTTTCAATTTGAATTTTAGGATATTAAGGCCTGGTTTGGGGTGTATCAAAAAAGTTAAAAAATTAAAAAGTCAAAAAAAAAGTAAAAAAGTTATCATTATTCACAAATTGAAAATATTAAAAAATTACTATACATAATATTTTGATCAAACAAAATTTATACAATTTTCGGGGCTAAATTGACCCTGTACTACCGTGAGAGGGAAAAAAAAAAAGAATTATATATATAAAATCACTAAGTTTGACGAAAATGTTGGGTCGTGGGAGCCCACTACGGGTCCTATTTTGATAATCTGAACCGTCAAATATGTAAAACTCGTCCAAAACTATATGCCTATAAAAAATCACGTTGATCGAAAATCAGTAATTATATGATCAAATTTTGTATAAAAAATAGATGGTGTTATAGTTAACAGTTAACAAGAAAAACTAACACAATCAGATAGCTATTGATATTCAATCAACGTAATTTTTTACAAGCATATAGTACTCGACGACTTCTACACATTGAACTGTCCCGATTAGTAAAATGGAACTCGTGGTGGGCCCCATGGGCTGAACAGCACCATCCAATTTATGCCCAAAAAAGAGAGAACCAATCTCCTACACTATACCCTCTGTCACGCTGGCCCATGCGTGTACTACCGTATGAGTTATTCCATCTACAACTTCTCCTATACACTTATTTATACAATTTTTTAATACACATTTTTTCATAAAAAGTCAAAAAATTAACCCAAACATCCATATTTTTTTCCAGGAAAATGACTTGGACCTCCATAAGGGGCACCCCTATGACCCCCTCTCTCTTTGATTGGTCAGTTTTTCTTTTTTTTCCTTCTCCTCCAATCACCAGCCCCCACGTGTGTGTGGGAGTGGTGGGGGTGGTGATTGGAGAGAGTCTCAATTACTTCTTATTTTTTCTCTTAATTTTTTAATCTAAAAATATAAAAAGTACACTTATTTAAAACACTCTAAACAATTCCTAAAAGGCTTGGAAGATGCAACAGTAAATCCCCCGGGAAACCTTATTTCCTCGTGCACCACATGTTAGGGCCCATCTTGCATGTTAGTCAGAGTGGTAGGTAATCCTTTGAGCAAGTTTAGTTAGGTTAGTTAACCCTGTTAGTTTTTATAAATTAAAAAGTACTTTTTATTCAAATTTATTAAAGAGATTGTTCGATAATTCTCTTTTCTTTTCTTTTTTTTTAAATAAATAAATAGTTGTACCGTTTGTAAGTTATAAATGGGTTATGAGAAAAGTTAGGGATTATGAAAATTTTTTCATAAAAATGATCATGAAAAATTTATGATCTTTGGATTATCTTGATTAGTGTGTGGTGTTTTATTCTAAGTACAATCTAAGCGTCACAAAGTTTTCATGATTATTTTCATGGAAGATTTTTCATGATACCTAACATTGCTGATGTGTTATTATACATGTGCCAGCATGGTATTTCCATAACATATTGCAAGTTTCCAGACTGGCCATTTTTTTTCTTAAAAGGGTCAATCTCTTAATTTTCATAGTGTGTCTAGAATAACTGAACTCAAATATTGACATAGTTACAAAATGCAAATAATTATTTTACAACATTACATTATTGAAATACCTTCACAAGGCTCTAAATGTCTATGCAATTTAAAAGATGAGTAGTTCCAGAGTCCAAGCTGAGCCCTTCCCTGAGCAGCCTTTCCTTTCTTAGGCCATCATGGCATGGAGCGAAAAACTCGTGCCACAGCGCTTCCTCTGCACTTATCCTCGATCTCGGGTTCACCGTCAGGCACTTCTCCACAAGATCAAATAGTGATCCTGGAATAAACTCCAAGAATTCTGGTCTTTTTGTGTTCTGTTTGCACCAATCTCGCAATCTTGTGGATGTCAAAAATTTCACATCAAAAAGATCCTGTGACAGAACTGAAAGTCTAAATAAAATAGTCAACTAACATTATAGTACACTTGATTAGTTTATAATTCAAGTGATGAATACCACTGGAAATGAAGATTCACGGTCATGTAGCTTTGCCACTTCCCAGAGATCTTCACTGCCCTTTAACTTTACAATTTCCTTTATGTTCCTGCAAATGACAGCAATAATGTTGGCGAGATGGATAATGAGGATGTAAATCAGGGTGTGCGTTTAGTTTTCTTCGATGAATAGCAAGGATTCTCACTGTTCAGCTTCACCAGTAAATGGTGTTCTTCCAATCATCAAGTAAAGTCAGGTGACCCCAGCAGACCAGATGTCAACTTTGTGGCCTTGATGTGGTGACCTGAACAATACCTGCATAACTACTCAATATTATATACTAAATGATGAAAGTATAGCTTACAAAGCTTACAATCAGACTCAGCAGCAGCAACAGTCCAAACAGGTTCAAGTTCTGCAGCAGTTCAAACAGTCTTCATCAGCCACATCCAAGTGTGAGAAGCTACAAGCCGAGTCCAGTGATAACATTCCATATCCATTATAATATCTGTTAGATGTTGTTGTAACAGAATTAGTTCTACAGTTAGTTAGTTAGAGTTGCAGTTAGTTAGTTAGAGTTAGAGTTAGTATGATTAGTTAGAGTTAACTCATCATGGTTAGTCTTGGATAATTGTTGTATAAATACTCTGTATTCATCTGTAAAAGAGTGCTGAAAATAAGATCTCAAATCTTCTTTACTAAAAAAGTCTAACAGTGAAATCCCAAGACGAGACGAGCATTAAATGTTGTACGAAACTTTCAGGATATAAATTTGCCTCGAGGAATCAAAACAAATTGTCAAGGGAAAAGAAAATTCTACATTTTTTTAAGGGTAGAAAATATTATTTCCATTCCTGAATTTAGGTTGCTTCTTGTAATTTCCTTTCAATTCCTAGGCTCTTAGCACAAAGTTAAACAGAAAATCATTGCTTAGAAAAATTGAACAAAATTTCTGTTTGGGTATGACAATGTTGCTAAAGTGGAAAGGGCGAGTGTGTTTTGCAAAATTGTGTCAATAATGAAAGTGGAGTTCGTTAAACGATTCCGAAGCTGAAATTAGACCAAGTCCAGTTGTGGTACAAGTGAGTGGGTAATAATTTAACTCTACAAACATTGATTTTCTCAACAGCCAAGTTCTTAAGCCAAACATTGGATTCCTGGCTAAAGAGAAGGATGATAATTTTTTTAGGTGTTACACCAAAACTACACTCCAAGATAAAATAAAAAGTTCACTCAAATGATGCATGCAGTAATACTTTTATTTATCTTCACACCCAAGTAGAATTTGACCAACTGAAGGTAAGACACTTGAATCTTCTTACCAACACCGTTAGACTTATTTATTTTGATGATTTATTTAATTATATTTTAATTTATTTGGAAGAAAAAAATAGAATCAAAATTTATTTTGATAATTTATTTGAAAGAGAAAAATATAATCAATATTTATTTTGATGATTTTATGTTTTAATAAAATCAAAATTTATTTTATCCCAGTATTTCTCACATAAACCTTTATCCTAAATATTGTTAGAATGTATTTAATATTTGGTTAAATCAGGAGTTCAAACAGCTCAAAAACAGAGGTTCAAACAACCCAGCACAACAGCAGTTTAAAAGGTTCAAAAGGTTCAAGTGAAAGATATTCAAATTTGTAATAATGGAGTGAAAGATATTCAAATTAGTAATGATGGAGTACAACGGCTATAAACAACTATAAATTCAAATGACTACAACGGCTATAAACGGCTATAAATTCAAATGAATACAACGACTATAAACGGTTATAAATTCAAATAAATACAACCGCTATAAACGACTATAATTTTCATTACATATACCAAAGCCTCTAATGTAAACAAGTAAGGTTCAAAAGGTTTAAGTGGAAGATATTCAAATTGGTAATGATGGAAGTACAACGGCTATAAATAGCTATAAATTCAAATGACTACAACGGCTATAAACGGCTATAAATTCAAATGAATACAACGACTATAAACGGTTATAAATTCAAATGAATACAACCGCTATAAACGACTATAATTTTCATTGCATATACCAAAGCCTTTAATGTAAACAAGTTACAAAAACCTGAAAATATTCTTTGATCTATAATCACTCACATCTATTCTCAGAAATTATACACTGAGCCTTATAGCTTTAAGCCCATATTTCTTGTGTGAGGTTTACAAAAAAACCAGAGCTTTATTTTTATATCTATCTTTGAGAGATAATTCTTGTAGCTTTCTGTGAAAGTAAAAATACATTCTTTTCAACCTTGTAAGAGTGTAGTACACTCAGTGTTCTTGACTTAGAAAGTCAGTATAAAATCTGTGGAGGATTGCTCCATCTGTGAAAAAGTTGCTAGCACCCTGTGAAGTTAGAGTATAGGGAAAAATCTCAAGTAAAACTTAAGGAGTGGACGTAGGCCGAGTTGAAGCCGAACCACTATAAATTTGTTTGTCTCTCTCTCTCTCCCTTATCTCTTTGTTTTATTTTAAATTGCCATAACTATATTTCACATGTTTACTGTGCTAAAATCATTAACTAACATAGTTGTTAAGACACTTGTTTTAATTATTTTTATTTCATTAATTATATTTATTTATTGTGCTAGTCATAATTTTTATTAGGGTATTATTATTTTAATTATAAAAACCTAATTTACCCCCCTCTTAGGTTGTCTTTTGGGTAACAATTGGTATCAGAGCTTAGACTCTTGCTTTAGATTTAACCATCTAAGAGTTTTAGTCCATGGCAATCTTAGCTAACACCAGCACTACTGAAGGACAAGCCACCAATAGGCCACCATTATTTGACGGAAACAACTATAGTCATTAGTAAGATAAGATGACCCTATACCTACAAGCCACTGATTATGTTATATGGATTATTGTCACCAAAGGTCCAAAAATTCCTACCAAACTAGTAGACAATATTAGTGTACCTAAAACTAAAGATGAATGTGATGAGAGGGATCACAAATTATTGCAAGTCAATGCTAAAGCCAAACTCACCCTTTTTTGTGGATTAGACTTTAAGAAGTATAATAGAATTTCAAATTGTGATTCGTCAAAAGAAATTTGGGACAAACTTGAAGCAACTTATGAAGGTATAAACCAAGTAAAGGAATCTCGTATTGATATGCTTGTTCATAGTTATGAATTGTTTAAAATGAATTCTGATGAATCTACTTCAAGTATGTTTACTAGATTTACTGAAATTGTAAACTCTTTGAAATCTCTTGGCAAAACTTATATTAACAGTGAGTTGGTAAGAAAAATTCTTAGGTGTTTACCAAAGAATTGGGAAGCAAAGATCACCGCCATTATAGAAGCCAAAGATCTCTCCACACTTGGATTGGATGAGCTTATGGGTTCCCTTATGACTCATGAGAACACTATGAAAGAACATGAGGATGTTGAAAACAAAAAGAGAAGTGGAATTGCATTTAAAGTCTCATCAAATGAAGAAGAACATGAAAATGTCAATGAGGATAAAAGCTATTCCATGTTTAGTAGAAATCTCAAAAAGCACTTCAAGAAAAACAATTATGGAGGAAGAAAACCTTTTAAGAAAGAGTACAACAAAGATAACAAGAAAGATTTGCTATGAGTGAAAAAATCATGGACATATGATGAAGATGGATTGTCCAAAATTGAAGAATCATGGAAAATACTACAAAAGAAACAAAAAGGCCATGGTAGCAGCTTGGGGAGAAAGTGAAGATGAAAGCTTAACTGATGAAATTGTAAATGAAGTAGTCAACTTATGTCTCATGGCTCTTGAAGATGAAGACTCTACTCAAGATGAGGTAACTACTCTTTATGAATAACTTGAAAGTGCATTTCATGAACTATCAAATAAATTTAAAAAAGTTTGTGCCAAAAATAATGTGTTGAAGAAATCTGTTGCATCTTTATCTATTAATGTAGAAGTATTAAAGAAAGAAAAAATTATTTTGAAAAATGATTTTGATATTATCTCTAATGAGAAAACTACTTTAAAAAACAATGTTGATGATTTAACAAAAACACTTGAAAATTTTGTAAAAGGTAGAGATAATCTCAACATGCTTCTTGGAAATCAAAGATGTGTTTTTGATAAAGCGGGTATTGGATATGACCCTGTTAAGAAACAAAAGAATCTCAATTCAATTTTTGAAAAGGCACCTCTCATGACACACCCTCATGTTACTTGTCATTATTGTAGAAAGAAAGGCCATTATATATCTTATTGTCCATTCAAAAAGAATATGAACATAAGAATTAAAAATATTTGGATTATTAAGGGATCTAACAAAACCAACCAAGAAGGATCCAAGAAACTATGGGTACCAAAAACCAACACTTGATTGTCATCTTGTAGGTTTGCTTTAAGTCCAAAGCTAAAGAAGGAAAGTGGTACCTTGATAGTGAATGTTCCATACACATGATCGGAGATAAATCATTCTTTACTAAACTATCATCGAAAGATGGAGGATTTGTTACTTTTGGAGACAACAAGAAAGGAAAAATCATTGGTATTGGTAGCATCGGTATTTTTCCTAACCTTTCTATTGAAAATATTTTACTTGTTGATGGACTTAAGCATAACCTACTTAGTATTAGCCAATTATGTGATAAA